GTTATAAACAAATGAAGCCGCCTCAACAGATCCACTTTTCTTTCGTTAAGAGGAGGTGGGATCACAGGCGGAGGCCATCAGGCTCCCAGGCAAGCTGGGGCTGGGAGGACACTTCAAGGTATTGCTTTCCATCCTGACCCTGAAGCTCCAGGCAAACGGCCCAATCTGCCAAGTTGGGCTTTGGGATTAAAGGTTGCTCCTCTCTCTTTTGAGGACCTTTCTATAAGACGACTCTTATCACCGAGATGATGTTCACTTTTCCGCTGCCAAACCAGTGTGAGTGCCACAAATCCGTCTGTGAAACCATTAGCATTTCAGGATCTTAAAAAAAAAAAAATCAAAAATCCACTTGTGCATTCCAGATTTATGGGACAAATGTTAACAGGTGAAACAGACCTTTCAGATCTGTTAACACAGGCAGCAGTTGGAAATGGGTACTTACTTCAATCAAGTAGCGTAAAATTGAGACATCTTTAGATGCCTTCGATATTTTCATGTATTTACCCTCCAGCACAAACACCTGTACTTATTCCACTGCCTCACAATTACTTAAAGCGAGTTCTCTTTGAACGTTATTATCCCAGTCTTCCTGCTGTCCCGGCCGAGTACTGTGCTCTCTGCTCCCTCGGCTCTGCACCCCATCTTGTCTGCCTGCCCCTCACCTCTTCTCACACATATTTCTTAGGCCTTCATTTTTGTTGTTCTCAACAGTTGGTACCCTTAGAGAAGGGGACCATCTGTCTCAATCATCTATTTTCAGTTTATGGCTCAGGTCCACCTTCCTCCTCCAGGAAAACCTCTATATATTCTCAAAAAGGTGAAAAAGAGCCCTAGCTTCCAAGAGCTATTAGTAACATTAAAAATGAGCTTTGTATTTCTCAGAAATAAACCAGTGGCTTTAAGCTTAGGTTGAATTGCCAAATGGTGTAATATAAAGTGAGCATTTATTCTTACTATTTATACAATACTTAAGTTGGTTCATTTCATTTCTTTTTCTTGTCTCTACACGCAGTTAATAAGTACTTTAAAATCACCTTATCAACATTTGTCTTGGTATGGCCTTTATTGGTAGTGAATGGCGAATGTCACAACCCTTAGTAAGTATTTCTCCA